TTCGGATTATTCAGGATACATTTAATGGTACTTTACTATATAAATGCCTGATTATTCATTTAGGGCTGTATATTTTCCCAAATTATTTTATGTGTAATTTTGTATAAACACTGTTGGAAGCTTACTAGCTTTATTATCTTTGTTCAATATTAATGTCCATTGTTTTAAATGTGTTGTTTTGAAAAGCATATTTTGCCTACTTACTTTTCCTCAAAACTTTCTGTTCACTGTTACTCTTCCCAGAAGAACAAAGATCTCCACACCCACACCAAACATCATATACCATATTTGTTTTTCATGGGTATTCTCTAATTATTTTGCAAGGTTGTAGGCACATTTGCCTGCACTACCTTGGTTTCTGCAATGACAAATTTCTAAAATGTCAGCAGCAGTGACTGTCAAAAGGGTAGTTAATTGGAAAACAGAGTTCAGATCCTAACTGCACCTTCATCCTGGAAGTAGAGCTGCTGGGCAGACACACAGAAGGGATGGTGGGCATAAGTGTAACAGGCTGGGTGGGAAGCTCAAGAGCAAGGTGGGGACCCTGCAGCAATGCAGCGGACATGCCCGGTCTAAGGGAGGCAGCTGCAAACTCGCTGCTACTCAGAAATGTCGGCTTACACTTGGCCACTCTTCTCATTTCTCAAAAAAAACTGGGTTTTTGTGGGAATTTGCTTTCCTCAATTTGGCAGTAACTCAAACTAAAACATATCTCTCTTTTTTTTTTTTTTTTTTTTTGGAGACAGAATCTCACTCTGTCGGCCAGGCTCTGGAGTGCAATGGTGCGATCCTGGCTCACTGCAGTTTCCCTCTACTAGGTTCAACCAATTCTCCTGCCTCAACCTCTCAAGTAGCTGGGATTACAGGTGCCTGCCACCACGCCCGGCTAATTCTTGTATTTTTAGTAGAGAAATACTAACATGGTTTCACCATGTTGGCCAGGCTGGTCTTAAACTCCTGACCTCAGGTGATCCACCCGTCTTGGCCACCCAAAGTGCTGGGATTACAGGCATAAGCCACCACACCTGGCCAGCAGATCTCTTCTTCAAAACATAGTTCTTCCAGCCAGACTGAGTTTGTGGGCCAGCAGTGTATAACCTCTGGGCGGGACATCCCCAGGATGAAGGTGCTCTGGTACGTGCCTTTGCTATAGCAGCATGGGCCTTTGGACATTGTAGATGGTTCCCCAGGCCTCCATGAGCCTGCACTCACCGTCTCCTCACTAGAGAGCTCGAAATCTCAGAACCCAACTCTCTCTCATGTCACCAAGCCAGAGTCTGCTTTCTGTCTCCATAGATTTGTCTGTTCTTACACGTTTTGTGTAAATGAAATTATGTAATATGTGGTCTTCTGTGACTAGCATTTTTCACTTGACCTAATGTTTTCAAGGTTTCCTCATGTTGTTGCATATATCAGTGCTTTATTCTTTTTATTACTGAATAATACTCCATTTTATGACTTATTCATCCACTCATCAATTGGTAGACATTTGGGTTGTTTCTACTTTTTGGCTACTATGAATAATGTTACTGCAAACATTCATATACAGGACTTTGTGTGGACATGTTTTCATTTTTCTTAGGAACGTATGTGGGAGTGGAATTGGTGTATCATATTGGTTTGAGGACCAAACAGTTTTCGAAAGTAGCTGCACTGTTTTATCAAATACATTCCCATCAGCAATGTGTGAGGGCTCCAGTTGTTCTATCTCCTTTCCAATATGTTTTGTTTTCCTGATTTTCTATTATAACTATCCCAGTAGTTGTGAAAGTGCTATCTCACTGTAGTTTTTGTTTGCATTTTCCTTATGTCTCAGGATATTAAGCATCTTCTTATATACTTACTGGCCATTCATGTCTTCTTTGGAGAACTCTCCAGATCCTTTGCTCATTTTTAAATTAGGATATTTGCCTTTTTATTGCTAAGTTATAAGAGTTCTTTATGTAATCTGGATACACATCTCGATGAGCCTCATTTTTGTCTCCCAAATTTAATGATACTGAAAATATTCCACTTACTAAGATAGGAAACTATTCTAATATGTGTGAAAAATAGTATAAATAACAAAGTTTTTTAAAAATGCCTATTTGATTTTATCAAATTCTGACCTTATGATACTAAGTAAATCTGATATTTCTTTTTTCTGTAGTCATACTGTATTTTAGCTAAAATAATCGATAAATTTACCTGTCAAGTCTCAAATCATATTCTAATTATTTTTTGTATTTTAATTTTGTCTTAACCATGCCAGTGGCTTACTCATAGCTTCCAAAAATAAAAGGTAAATATTAGACTGAAAAATACTTTCTAAATGGGTGGGTTTGCCTCTAGGGAGGAGAATGCTAGATCACAAGAGGGCAAGAGAAAGAGAATTACTTTCTCCTGTATTTTACACTTGTATTCATGTAGCATCATTTTTTTAAGTATATATTTTATTGCATTTTAGGTTTTGGGGTACATGTGAACATGCATGATACATACATGGTACATACATGGCAATATGGTTTGCTGCCTTTCTCCCCATCACCTATATCTGGCATTTCTTCCCATGTTATCACTCCCCAACTCCCCACCCCGTCCCCCGACTGACCCTCCTCTAGTTACCTCTCCAACAGACCTAATGTGTGATGCTCCCCTCCTTGTGTCCATGTGTTCTCATTGTTCAACACTCGCCTATGAGTGAGAACATGCGGTGTTTGATTTTCTGGTCTTGTGTCAGTTTGCCTGAGAATGATGATTTCCAGGTTCGTCCATGTCCCTACAAAGGACACAAACTCATTGTTTTTTATGGCTGCATAGAATTCCATAGTTTTTATGTGCCACATTTTCCCTGTCCAGTCTATCATCAATGGGCATTTGGGTTGGTTTCAAGTCTTTGCTATTGTAAACAGTGCTGCAATGAACATTCATGTGTATGTGTCCTTATAATAGATCGATTTATAGTCCTTTGGGTATATACCCAGTAATGAGATTACTGGGTCAAATGGAATTTCTATTTCTAGGTCCTTGAGGAATCACCACACTGTCTTCCATAATGGTTGAACTAATTTATACTCCCACCAACAGTGTAAAAGTGTTCCTATTTCTCCACATCCTCTCCAGCATGTTGTCTCCAGATTTTTTAATGATTGCCATTCTAACTGGTGTGAGATGGTATCTCAATGTAGTTTTGATTTGCATTTCTCTAATGACCAGTGATGATGAGCATTTTTTCATGTTTGTTGGCTTCATATATGTGTTCTTTTGAAAAGTGTCTGTTCATATCCTTTTGCCCACTTTTGGATGGGTTTGTTTTTTTCCTGTAAATCTGTTTTAGTTCTTCGTAATTCTGGATATTAGCCCTTTGTCAGATGGGTAGATTGCAAAAGTTTTTTCCCATTCTGTTGGTTGCTGGTTCACTCTAATGATTGCTGCTTTTGCTGTGCAGAAGCTCTGGAGTTTAATTAGGTCTGATTTGTCTATTTTGGCTTTTGGTGCCAATGGTTTTGGTGTTTTAGTCATGAAGTCCTTCCCTATGCCTATGTCCTGAATGGTTTTGCCTAGGTTTTCTACGGTGTTAGGTCTTATGTTTAAGTCTTTAATCCATCTGGAGTTAATTTTAGTGTAAGGTGTCAGGAAGGGGTCCAGCTTTCTGCTTTCTGCACACTGCTAGCCAGTTTTCCCAACACCATTTATTAAACAGGGAATCCTTTCCCCATTGTTTGTTTTTGTCAGGTTTGTCAAAATCAGATGGTTGTAGATTTGTGGTGTTGCCCCCAAGGGAAACTTCCAAAAGTTAAAAACATAACTTTGATTTTAATGGAGAAAAATATTGTATATCCATGAGCCCCTAAAGTAATACCCAATTTAAACACTATAAAAATGGACCAGGCCAGGCGCAGTGGCTTACGTCTGTAATCCCAGCACTTTGGGAGGCTGAGGCAGATGGATCACTTGAGGGCAGGAGTTTGAGACCAGCCTTGCCAGCATGGTGAAACCCTGTCTCTACTAAAAATACAGAAATTAGCTGAGCATCGGTGGTGCACAACTATGATCCCAGCTACTCGGGAGTCCTAGGTAGGAGAATCACCGGAACCCGGTAGGCAGAGGTTACAGTGAACTGAGATTGCACCACTGCACTCCAGCCTGGGCAACAGAGCAAGACTCCATCTCAAAAAAAAAAAAAAAGGGGGGGGGGCAGTGACTTCAACAGTTAACACTGGTTATATCACAATGAAATCAGGATGGCTTCTCGTCAAATGACTCTCCAATATACTGTTTACCCTGCATTCCTTTGGCTTTGGTACTGTCATAGTTACTAAGGTATGGTCCAGTTATCCTCACAGAGCATATAGCATGATGTTCTCTGTTTATGTGGTTCATTGTTACTCCAAGTGTGGTCCTTGAACCAGCAGAGTGAACATCACCTGGGAACTTGTCAGAAATGCAAATCCATGGGCTCCATGCCAAACTCATTGGCTCAGAAGCTTTGTAGAAGGAGCCCAAGAAATTGCATTCTAACCAGCCCTCCAGGGGATTCTGAGGCACATGTATGTTGGAGAACCACTGATGTAATTGAAAAAGAAAAAAAAAAGAGTAAGAAGGGAAAAAAAGAAATCATCAATACTAATGATGCATAAGGTTACCCTATGTAAACTAGCATAATATAAATACTGTAAATTAAAGCAGCAAGAACTAATCATTCAAAGTCAAGGATAATTAATGAGCCCCTAGGTTCACAGCCTCCCACCACTCTCAAGGAATAGGATCCACAGATCCTCTCTCCAGAATGCAATGAGGTGTCTCATGTGCTGGCAGGGAGACAAAATGCACTTCTAGTAAAACCGAGTTCTTTAAACTCAGGTGACCGTGTCTCTAGGTATAACCGTATTTCCTTCAAATTCTCCCAATTTTTCATCCCAAAAAGCTGCCCACGTCACCCTCTTTAGCCACATCTTTGGAGGTGTCTTTATATTTTGTTCCAGAGGCCTCATGCTCATTATTCATCTTTATTTTTTCAGCAAAGGGTTACCTTCCAGTTCCACATTTACCTTGGAAGAGGGGACCATCTACTTGACGACGGAACCCAACACTCTGGAAGTGCAGGATGACAATGCTTCTGTGCTGGACGTCTATTTAGTAAGTAATTTTTTAGTTTCCTGTTTTCCCCTTCTGGTTTGTAAATGGATCCAGGCCATGGTTTACACGAGAACAAGTTTTATAAAAACCAGGTATGCTTGGGTTTTAAAAGAAATGATGGCACCCTGTCACTTCTGCAAATGGTGCTTTTTCTATAAGTAATGTTTTCCCACAGTTCATTACACAAAAGAGTATCTAGGTCAATATGAAATCACCATGTATAACAAGAGAACAAAACCCCTAACATTGAGGTAAAGTAGGGCTCCTGGGTGTTGTTCCCAACCAGGTAATGTTTTCCTTTGATTGAGTTGTGCTCCCTGATGTTTGAATCTTCTGCATTTGGTGTTGCTCCCTTGGTAAGTTAGGAGGCCAAAAGGTAGAGAATAGCGTCATGGGAAGAAGCCAAATTCAGTGCCAGAGAATCTTGACTGACTCTCTTCTCAGTTGTCACCAACCAGCTGTGTGATGTGGGCAGGAAGCTTTCTGATTGCCTGTCCTTATTTACCAAAGGAGGGGAATCATGTTCACCCTGCCTTCCTTACAAGGCTGCTTTGAGGATCATGAGTGACCCTTTAGTGCCTGTCAACTTAGCAATATTGGCTTCATCGAACTGTTAGATAATGCCTAGAAAGATACCGTAATGAGCTACACTGTAAAAGAGTATTTTCTGTGCCAGGTACATCTCACATGTATGCTATGTCTTTGCATACCTGCACAGAATTACATAAAACAGGGGAAGTATTGATTTGGAATTTTCTGGGTTTTCTTTTTTTTTAAGTTTTGCTAAACCTGAACCAATATTCTGTGTCACTCCTGGTGTACAAGCATGACTTCAGGAATCAGCACCGAGTGGTGCATGTGTCATAGCAGCTCCTTGAGCCTGCATTTTATGCTTTTCCATATCCCTGACCTAGCACCATAATTCCTCAAGAGTACTCTGCAGCGCATCAGTCACCTAAGATACTAAACCCAGCTCTTCCGGAATAGTATCCAAAGTCCTGGCCAGGAATGGTGGTTCATGTTTCTAATCCCAGCACTTTAGGAGGCCGAGGCAAGCAAATCACATGAGGTCAAGCGTTCAAGACCAGCCTAACCAAGATTGGGAAACCCCATCTCTACTAAAAATAGGAAAATTATCCAGGCATGGTGGTGCATGTCTGTAGTCCCAGCTACTTGGCAGGCTGAGGCAGGAGAATCACTTGAACCTGTGAGGTGGAGGTTGTAATGAGCCAAGATTGCACCACTGCACTCCCACCTGGGCCACAGAGCCAGATCCTGCCTCAAAAGAAAAAAAAAAAAAAAAAAAAAAAAGCCCTCCAGGCCCTGCATAGTCTAGTCTCCCCTGCCTCTCCAACCTGCCCCCTCCCGGGGTCTCTCTCTTTCTTGCTGATGCTATTCTAGCCACACTGGCCTCTTTGGAGTTCACTGGCCTCCACAGACCAAGCACATCTCTGCCTTGGAACTTTTGCATTTGCCATTCCTGTCTGTGTGTTCTTTTCCACCCATCCCATGCACCCTCACTTCCTTCTGGTCTCAGCCCAAGTACCTCTTTCTCAGACAGGCTTTTCTTGACCCCCCCTACATAAAATAGTAGGTCTCCCACCAACAACTGTAAAAAGATTTTTTTTCTCTGAATATCCTGGTTGTTGCATAAACAAAATACTTTGCACTGAGCAATGTTCCTGCCTACCATTGCCTCCACTTTAAAAAAATAAGTTATAGCAGATCACAAAATTTTTACAGAAAAGGTGGTCCACTCCCAGCCAAGAAAAGAGGGAATTAAATAGAGAAAAAATGTATTTTTTGTTCCCATGTTGGATTCACCTGGAACCAGAAATCAGGAAAGCCTTTCAGAAAGAAGCTAAGTAAAATCTCATCTTCATGAACTAAGGATTCATGCCACTTTCATGTGTCTTTATAAAAACTAGATTTTCACCAATCAGGTTGGTACATTATTCCTGAGTAAGCTAAAACTCAAATTCAGCTCCATATGCTGTCCTGCCTAAACATGAACCCAGGAGGCACCCTGTTGTTTTTATTGACCATAAATATAAGTCTCACCTCCATCTCACTGGAATCATGTGTCTGACAAGAGTGAGAGCAGGATGCAGAAAGGAAGGAATAAGGGGGTTTTTGTTGAGAATATTTTTTGTAAAGTTCTTTCACTGTTTTTTCCTGATTATTTTTTAATGTTCTAGTGAAGCAGTTCTCAGACCTTTTGATCTCAGGATCCCTTTAAACTCTTACAAATTATTGAGAATTCTGAGGGGTGTTTTGGTATCTAGGTTATATTTATCAGTATTTTGTGTTTTCAAAACTAAAACAGAGTTTTTTGTTATTTTTTTTGAGACAAGGTCTTGCTCTGTTTCTGAGGCTGGAGTGCAGTGGCGTGATCTCAACTCACTGCAATGTCTGCCTCCCAGGTTCAAATGATTTTCATGCCTTACAACCTCCTGAGTAGCTGGGACTACAGGTGCATACCACCACACCCAGCTAATTTTCGTGGGGTTTTTTTGTAGTGACGGGGTTTCACCATGTCGCCCAGGCTGGTCTCAAACTCCTGGACTCAAGCAGTCTGCCCACTTTCCCTCCCAAAGTGCTGGGATTATAGGAGTGAGCCACTGCATCTAGCCAAAATTGTTTAAATATTCATTAATTAAAAATAGTAATCTATTATATGTTAATTAAATAACATTTTTATGAATATTATATTTGCCAAAACAAAAATAAATTTTGTGAGAGGGTGGCATTATTTTATTCTTCTGTAAATCCCTAATATCTGGCTTAATAGAAGAAAAAGGATTCTCACATCTGTTACTGTATTAGTCTTCTTGATATGTATGACACATCATTTCATTTCTAGAAAGTTCCATTACACATCCATGAAAGGGAATGAGAATAAAAAGGCAAATAACATCTTAGTATTATTGAGAAAATAATTTGACCTTCTAGACCCCCAGAAATGACCCCTACAGAGTTTTTCTCATATTTTAACTTAGTCTCTTCACCTGTTAACCAAATGAGACATAAATTAATTAGAGAGTAGTAGGTACCTGGAGTCTATGCTGGTCTCTGCCTCAATTATTGACCTTGAATTCAGTCACCCTCTTTGGGCCTCAGTGTTCTCATCTATGAAATGAATTATTAAATTAGGTTCATTCTAAATTACAGGGAGCTATAGAAATAAGATTTTCGAAGGTGGGAGGATTGCTTGAGGCCAGGAGTTTGAGACCAGCCCAGACAACACAGTGAGACCTCATCTCTACAGAAATTTAAAAAAAAAAAAAAAAAAAAAAAAAATTAGCTAGGCTTGGTGGTGTGTGCCTGTAGTCCCAGCTACTTGCAAGGCTGAGGCTGGAGGATCCCTCGGGCCCAGGAGTCTGAGGTTGCAGTAAGCCATGATTTCATCACTGCACCCTAGGCTAGGCAACGGAGTAAGACCTTGCCTTTAAATTTTTTTTTTTAAAAACAAGGTTTCTAAAGTAGCTACTGTTGTTTCTCCAAATTTTGCTGTTTCATCACCTCCTGTTCCATAAACTTTCACATTCTTTAAATTATTTGGCAATGCATCTAGAAAGTCCTGCGCCATTAACTTATAATTCCAGAATGTGTTCTCACACTGAAGATTTTTATTTTTTGTTTTGCATGCTTTTCCAGACCAGAAAGGTATGGCTCATTGCTCTTTCTTCAGTATTTTCATTTGCATCTGCATTATGAAAAGCAAATGGAGGCTAGGCACGGTGGCTCATGCCTATAATCCCAGCACTTTGGGAGACCAAGGTGGATGGATCAACTAAGGTTGGGAGTTTGAGACCAGTCTGACCAACAAGGAAAAAACTCACCTCTACTAAAAACACAAAATTAGCCAGGCATGGTGGCGCAAGGTTGTAATCCCAGCTACTTGGGAGGCTGAGGCAGGAGAATCGCTTGAACCTGGGAAGCGAAGGTTGCAGTCAGCCAAGAGCGCATCATTGCACTCCAGCCTGGGCAACAGAGTGAAACTCTGTCTCAAAAAAGAAAGAAAGAAAGAAAAGGCAGATGGAAATGAAAAGCACAAAAGGAAGACCAATCTTGCCTTTGCAGTCTCTTTTTTCCTTTTGACATAATTTGAGTGCTCTGAATCACAGCCATCTTTACTTGAAGGACAGTTGGAAGCTTCTCTGGTGACCTTGGTGTAGTATTGTCACCAAATGTGGTCAGATTTCTCTCGTAATGCTTCCTCTCCTTTAAGATAGCATTTCTCTATTAGTAGTTGTAGCCTAATCCCCTAGTGCTTTTATTTATACAGTAATGTATAACACCATTTACCCTTGTGTAAAAATACATGGGTTTACACCCAAATGATGTATGCCCACCAGATAACACGTGAAATGTCCTTTTAAGGATTCACCCACACATTATGTGCATGTGCATTAGGCCAGCTCTCCTGTTTTTTCCTGTGTCTCGACATGAAATTACAAAGGATGAGTGAGCTGAGAAGGCAGCTAATTGTTCCATCATCCTTATTGAGACATTTAGTTCAGATTTTATGTACCCAGTTACTCTGCATGGCTTTTTAAAGGCCATTCACCTTCACACTGTAGAGTTCCAAGCTATTTGACTCATTTGCAAATATTCAAATCAAGGGAGGTATTTTCTAAGACGATTTTATCCAGTGACCAAAGATGTGTTTTTCATTGAATTTTGAGTTGATGACACAGATTAGGGTATTTAAAAGAATATACAGAGATGAGCAGGCTGTATTGATTTAAAATGGGCAATCATGCAGTCTTCATAATAGAGCAAGATTCTACTTTGTAAATAGTCTCAGATATTCTAAGGCACCGGATGCTGTCACAGTGGCTGTTATTTCCGTTTCTAAGGCAGCTTCTTTGCCTGATGTAGAATGCAATTTGGTGTTAATGGAAAGAGGAAGAACCAACAAAAAGCCATTTCTGCTGAAAAGTGTATTGGGAGAGAATATCCTTTTATGACTAGCTGGGAATGGCTGGGTACGTGGG